TTGGTTTTCCAGAGGAAGCTTATACCGTATTCTGCATCGTCCTCAGTGTCAAATTGATGAGAAGCGTAGAATAAAGATGGCTCTCGATGTGGTATGAATTATCAGCCATTTATTCTTTTAAATTTGTACTTTACACCCTTTTGTTAGATTTCAAATCCCTTGCACTACAGGCAAGGGGCATGAATTGCTTGCATGCGAGTACACCAACAATAGTTCATCGGGATTTGAAGTCGCCAAATCTTTTGGTTGATGAAAACTGGACTGTCAAGGTATGGAACTTTATTGTCACCTGACTTCCTTTTGTTTGTTGTTCTGATTTATCTTTCTTCTCATAATAATTAGTACCGCAAAAAGTGGACACGCATGTAGGTGGCTACTGGTTCAAATTTAAAAAATGGGGGTGAACTGTTAGATTAATTATTACGTGTAATTTTTTAGGGTGCAAAAAGTGGGTGCAAAAATAATTTCTAAGATTGTTTGTTAGGAGGCTAAAAACCATGTGTACTAGTCGGTCAACTATAATAAAATTAAAAAAAAAATATTAAGTGATGTAATTTTAGAAGGTACCACTAACAAGGGTAATTGAAAGAGAGGATGAGGTTGACGGGTAATTTTAGATGACAATTATCAATGACAGTTCTTAGATATCTAATATTAAATGGTGTCATTGAAGGAAAAATACCATAGAAGCTCTCTGGGTAATTTTATTCAAATCTTATTCTGTCTTTTGGTGTTCTTAATAGCTAGCTACTTTAAAGGAGGATCATATGAGCTGTACACACCCACTGATTTTCATTTACCCAGCCTTGTCACTTGCAGCTTGTATTTGGCCAGAAAGTCCAATGTGATGGTTTATTTGTTGAACTAGGGTTTTCTTCAATCAGTTGATTTTTTTTATAAGAGACTGTATGTGACAAGTTGCTCAAAAGTTGAAGATACAAATCATGAAGAAGCAAATAATAGCCTGCAGTTAGAATTAGTTTTGTGTGTAGTTTTTGATTGATTTTGTGGTTTCCTGGCAGGTTTGTGATTTTGGGCTCTCACGCTTGAAGCATAACACCTTTTTATCATCCAAATCAACTGCAGGAACGGTGAGAATTTTATTTTCCAGCTAATATTCAGAAAAAATAGCTTTCATGGCTTAAGGGAGTGGATGCATTGTTTGTCTAGTATTTCTAATCGAGTTGTCTTTGATGTGTTAGCCTGAGTGGATGGCACCTGAAGTTCTCCGTAATGAACCCTCAAATGAGAAGTGAGTTGATTTTTCCTCTTGACTGCTTTCAGGTTTACCAACTTTCTTGCACTTCCACCACCTCTAAGCTGGGTCAATTTCTTCTAGTTTTTCAATGCTCTGTTTTATTGATAAGAGCATGGTAGAACAGCCTATGAAACTCTGCTCCATGAGAAGCCATTTGAGTACAACTATTTTCTCCTGCTTTGCACTGAAATTATCGTTGATAATTTTAATTTGAACCCATAATTAACAGCGTTATCTCATGATTGAGCATTACTATCCCCTCAAAAAGGTAGAAATTATCAGGTAGTCTTGAGTCCAACACATCGCCCATGGATTAGGCCAATAAACACAAGACACAGACAAATCTACCTAGTAGTCATGTTTTCTAGGTTCAAAAAATAATCTTTTCTTGAATGATGCCTAAATTTCAGTCTATCGGTGTCTCCAACTGTGACATACATGTAATTGCATATTATAATTAACTGTATTTATGCTTTGTTAGTTGGGACTTGGGAATACCAATTGTTACTTGCGGAATTAGTCATTGGGACAAAACTAGCTTTAAAATGACCATATAAATGGAAAACCAACTACAGTTCTATCATCTGTTGCCTTGAAGAAAGGCTTTCACTGGTGCTCTGGCGTCATGTATAAATTTATTTATTGGACCACTGTACTAAATAGGTAATTTGTTTCTTCTGTTGAGTGTGCAGGTGTGATGTATATAGCTTTGGAGTGATTCTTTGGGAACTTGCTACGCTAAAATCGCCATGGAGTGGGATGAACCCTATGCAAGTTGTGGGTGCAGTTGGTTTCCAGAACCGTCGTCTTGAAATCCCCAAGGAAGTTGATCCCTTGGTTGCAAGGATAATTTGGGAATGTTGGCAGACGTAAGTTGAGAGGAAAATTTGTAAATTAGTTTCTAATGCCACCCCTCATTAACACAAAATCAGTCACTGATGGCTGGCTCTCTTTGTTGTGCTTTTCTCCAGTGATCCAAACTTGCGCCCCTCATTTGCAGAGCTGGCAGTCGCTCTCATGCCTTTGCAGCGGCTGGTTGTCCCTTCACATCTAAGATCAATGTAGCCCACCTCTGCAGCAAGAGATTTCAGTAAATTCTACACCTCGAGATGTCTCAGTTTTGCAATTGTGAATATGGAGACATTCTGTTATTGGCCATTGGTGAGGCGCCATTCTATGAAATCCCCCCCCCCCAAAAAAAAAAAAAAAAAAAAAAACAAAACAAAAAACAAACAAACAAAGAAAGAAAGAAAACAAGGAGAAAGAAAAGATTGGAAAAATTGTAGGCAGTGTTTTGTGTAAGTAACATACTTAACCTGCTGCTGCCAAATGAGAGCATAGCAGCTTCTTGTACAGTTCGGTTTCCATGAATGTGCATTAAAGGAATTGGAACGAAGTTGCAGGTGTTATGACCTTGGGACATTTGTCATTTTAAAATAAAATTGCAAATGTGAGTGTTACACATCTTCGAGATTATTGTTCACATTCTCTTGACTCGCTTTGGTTACCTAGGATATTGTCCTGTCGAGATTGATGGGGAAGGCAACGATGAATTAAGCCAAAGATGCTCTCTATTATCAACTATCTATGGCTGTATTTTCAAAACTCTTGCACTCCCTTATCACCTTGCAAGGATATTATCTAACCTATGCCCAACATTCACTTCTGTCTATGGCTATATTTTCCGAACTCTTGCCACTCCCATTACCTTGCGAGGAAATTATCTAATCGATTCTCCGTATTAGTAACATATAAACTTATGAATTTTAAATCGGACTTCCGAGTTGAAATTACAAGATATCTTAAGATAGAATTGGACACTACAAGAAATCTTGAGATAGAATTGGACACGGGCCACGGCTTGCACAGCCCCCTCTACCACAAATTTTGACGTAGGCTCTCCCACTTGGGGAGACTAACCAGCACCCATCCTCAGTGCAATGGATGTCACTGACTTGGGCCATGAACCTTCTTGATCACTCATCGACCCCGTCCAGGTAAGTAAGGTGCTTGATGTTTCGAGCTTCTTATTTATAGACATATTCCTTGCTCAAACGTTGTCTTTTCTCTGTGTGCGATTGTAAAGCTGAGCGTACAACGCTTCACTGCATTCCCAATGCACCTGCACATGCATTTTCTGTAGTCCAATGAGTTATATTTAATACCGAGTAGAGATATGTTGATGCCTACAAAACTGATTTATTATATGGTAGAGAATAAATCCAGAATTAGTGAAGGTTGTAAGTAAAGCATTTCCATCCCAAGTATCTGTTCCCAGAAAAGAACTTCAAAGGTTGATTTGGTGAGAGAATTTGGGTAGCTTCCTCCGAAGCTTCGTATCAAGACCTTTATCAATGCATCATCCCCAATCTCGTGACAATTGATGATAATCTGACTTGAAAAACATAAAAAAAAAACAGTAACTTATCGAGAAAATGGTGTTCACCTTGAAGGAAAACAGCCAGCAGCTCATTGTTGTTAATACAGTGAATAGAAAGTTGTTGCACAGAAATCTCAGGATGATTATATATGTATAATAATGATTATTATATATGGATGAGCCCATTTAAATCTTAAGCTTTTAGTTAATGTACCGGAATAGAAAAAATGATGGAATCAACATAAATAGATCACTTAATATGAGTATCGAGTTGAATTTTATCCCCTCCACCAATTAAGGAGCTGAGGTCTGGCGAAGGATTTGACTGGAGCGTTGACAGCACGAGGAGAGAAGACTCGTAAACTATAAAGACCATCACAAATTAGAAATTCATCAAGAATCGAAGACAAATACCAGACTCTTTCTACGATAATTATATGGTCGAATACAGGCAAAATATGAAAAACTGTTAAGTTAGGGTACTTCCCACAAGGAAAAGAACCCTCCAAAAATAAGCGTATGCCGCTGATTGCGGCGCTCACACGGTATTCTTTAGTAAAAGGCGAAAGAATAGTTCGCTTTGTGCTCACCGCGCGGCTGCGTGCTTTTACCTTCCTGTCTGCTCCATTTTTATAGGCACTTGCTCACGGGTTATTTCGTTTTGCTCCGATACGGGTTGTCTTATAATTCTGTATTATCAATCACAAACTTATCCATATTAGTATTAACTCGCGTAACAACCCTTCTAACATTAAATTCTCTTGCTCATGCCTAATTTGAACTCTACCATGATCATTAACATGATTCCTCTACAACTTATCTCAAATTCATTGCTCATCCATCTATCTGTTAATTTATAATATGTAACTAAGTTACAATTTTATTATCTTCTCTTTGTGGTGCTATATTGGTGTTTGCCTTTGACATATTTAAATCTAAAAATTGATTAGTTTACCAAAGATATATATTCTTCACCCACTCTCACGTGTTTCATTTAAATACAGGTTTTTCATTCAATATATGCTTATTACAATTTTTTCCTCATCTCGTCTTTCTTCGACTCTCGAAACCGAAATAAACACCCAACATATCAGCCTTAGTAGCCTATCCAAATGTGTATATGACTTAAGCAAGATAAATATGAAAACAATCAAAGACCTACAATTACAATTTCACCCTTTAACAAGCAAAATTGTACAATATATAAATGTTTTTGAAAACAAGGAAGAAAAAAGATGAACTCCAAATGACCCATTGCCTTGCAAAGAGATTAGCTAGCCTATGCTCCATATTCATACATGAAATTGAATTTCAAATGGAACCTCTTAGTTGGAATTACAAGAAATCTTGAGAAAGAATTGGACAGGGGCCGCGGCTTGCGCAGCCCCCTCTGCCACAAATTTTGACGTAGGATCTCCCGCTTGGGGAGACCTTAAGCCAGCACCCATCCTCAGTGCAATGGATGTCACTGACCTAGGCCATGGACCTTTTTGATCGCCAATCGACCCCGTCCAGGTAAGTATGGTACATTTTGCTTCGACCTTCTTATTTATAGACACATTCCTTGCTTAAACATTGTCTTTTCTCTGTGTGGGATTGTAAAGTTGAGCGTACAACGCTTTACTGCATTTCCCATGCACCTGCACACGCATTTTCTCCAGTCCAATGAGTTATATTTAATACCTGGTGGATAAGGAAGCGTGTAATGATATGGAGGATATGGACTGCGACAAGGCTGTATTGGTCTTGCTCTCTGTTTTACTTACTTCAAGCCTATTAGTAGAAAGAGCGGAAAGAAGAAGCTTTTAGGCTTTTCATGGAAGGCATAATTCACAGCTGAGCGAATTTCTTCTCGGTATCAATGCGCACTAATTGCTAGCTACCTTCCACTTTCTTTATTCAATTTCTAGTTAGCCTTTTGGACAGCTATAATAACATAAAGAATGAAAAGCATCCCTTCTTCTGTCCGCGTTCAAGGCGTGCCTAAGCTGTCTGTCTTGCTTAATGCAAGATTTCTAAACAAGAAGGTGAAGGGAGAATGTGAAACCCTGAATAAATTTACACGAAATGAGAAATAAATATTTGTTCAATACAGTAAAATGAATATATATCGTAATGGGGGTGGTATTGGAATTTTTATATCATTTGAGAAAATTATTTTTACCTAAACAGCGGTGTAAACATTATATTATGATATAAATATAAACCTACACGAATAGTAAATTAAATATTACACCGAGCATGTCAAATTTATATTTATCTTAGAGAAATGATATTAGGTCGAAAAAATTAAACATAAAAGTTTTTATTCCGAGTTTAAAAAATAAAAACTTGAAAAATACTGGAAAATAAAAAACTAAAATGAAAATAAAAATTAATGAAAATAAAAATAAATAAAGATCTTGCATATTAGAATTTGAAGGACAATGAAAAGATTATTTGCTGTTCAAATATAATGACTGTTATCAGGCCACAATTTGTATAATATCTTATAAAGCTCTATATAAGAGAGAGTCGAACTCCTATATGATGGGATGAAGTGGGTGAAAAAAAGTTACTGGGACCAGAATTAGATGGTGGTTTGGGTAATTATAAATTAATCGATAACTCGATATGTTATAAATATAAAAGAAATTCTACCGAAATTTCAGTGTACTCCTTCCACATGAAAATGCAAATATGACTATATGTCAAAGTGAATCTTATATATATATCCTAAAGGAGTCTTATTACTATGATGGAAGGTAGGGTGCATGCTTGTTCAGACACAAAATAATGGCATGCCACATGTTGCTTATTACGTCAGAAACTGATGCAGTTGCGGAGCTAAGGATTAAGGACTCAAAAAAATACTGGTAGATCACACTATTCTCCTTTCTTATTCAGTGAGATTTCAAGGCTTTTAATCGGGTAGATCACTTACTATGAGTCTTGAAATAAGTTTTATCCCCTTCAGCTCCTTTAGAAGCTGAGGTCTGGTAACTCAGCTAAAGCTTTGACGGGAGTGTCGACAGTACCAGGAGCTGATCACCCAAAACTTTGGGCAAATACCGACACATAAAATATATTTCTACGATATAACTCTAAGATTAGAAAAGCGAAATTTTGAACTGTTAAGTTAGGGTACTTCCCACAAGGAAAAGAACCCTCCAAAAATAAGCGTATGCCGCTGATTGCGGCGCGCACACGGTATTCTTTAGTAAAAGGCGAAAGAATAGTTCGCTTTGTGCTCACCGCGCGGCTGCGTGCTCTAACCTTCCTGTCTGCTCCATGTTTATAGGCACTTGCTCACGGGTTATTTCGTTTTGCTCCGATATGGGTTGTCTTATAATTCTGTCCCTGAATGCATGCCCACAAGCAATGAGACAGTCAGACCATTTGATGAAAACATAAACCAGATAAAAAGAATGATATCATGAAAATCAAACTACTGGCGGAATTGAAGAATGTCTGATCAGTGTTTAAAACTAGATATGGACTTCAGCAACCTCTTAGGGATCATAGAGGGGGGAAAACATACCCCAGTTGAAAAAGAAAAGGGAAAGGACTCTTTATGGATCTTGGTTTACACATCCAAATTCTTTATGCTTTCCTGGCGTCATTGTTTAACCTTCTAGTGATTTCTTGTTTCTGCTAACCATTTATATATGAATCAACTATCAAGCGATGAAGCTACTGGAACTGCTTTCTTTATATGAAGGTTTGCTTGTGTGTACTGTCAACTCTTATTTAAGGACTCATCCCCATTGCCAACACATTCAAAATTATGCAAATGCCGATCGTAAGGGCAACAACAAGAGACGATTATAAACACAGCATCATTCTTGCCTACACATTCAAAATCTGAACTCTTAAAAGAGAAGACAAGTACCAATCTTTTGATTAAAACACCCCAAGATAGTCTAGATATTCAAAATTCAGGCTTTCCAATTGAGCCCTGGTTAAAACAGAGACAACCCAGATGACTCAATTGTATATTGCAACTTTGTATAGTTAGAGAACTGCACTGCAAAGAAAAGTTAAGGTTTCTTGATAAAGCCAAGAACCAAACAGTTGTGAAAGTGTGACCCTTTAGTTACTTCATTATCTGCTTTCCCGTAATTTAAAGTCTCAAATTGTTTTCAAAAGACTTTTGCCTTGCTTATTATAAGGAAAGATTAAAACAGGGAAATGCTAATGACAGAAGAGACTTACAACTTAGTAGTTGCTTGCCTTGCTGCAATGGAATGAAAGAAATATGACTTTTTTTAACCATTTCTAAGGTGTGTAAGGAATGGGACCCATGACCATTCTAAGATGGATAGGTGGGACCTGAATGGCTGGCTTGCATAACCTTTGGAAATGGACTGGACCCACCCGAAGAAGGGGTTGTAAAGATTACTGCTGTTAGACTCGGTTGAATACAGTGGATCAGTAACCTGTTGAACTGGAACGAGGATGATTTGGGTTTTAATTAAATTCGACGTTAAACTAGGTTAACTGAGTAAATCAATTCTTAATCGGGTTAAAACATAGTTTGAAGCGGTTTAAAATAAATTTTAAAACAATTTAAAAAAAGTAATTCGCTTGAGAAAAATACTTCATATTAGGCATGATTTACTTGGATTGCAATAGTTGAATTACATTCTTGCCTCCGAAAAAACCATTATAATTGGCATGTAGGGGTAGATTAGGATTTTCGTATGATTTATTTTGTCATTCATAAAAAATTTTTATAATAAATTTATTTTAGTACCCTTAAAATGTTTTTTAACTTAACTATGACTTAACTATGGCAATTAACATTGTTGGTTTTTTACTTTTTATAGAACAGTGCAATAACTATATCGTCTTTGAAAGGAAAATTGCAGAGGCCAATTCATCATTTTATGATGGTTTTTTAGCCATAGTTGTTTGGTCTAGCAAATATATTTTTATTTATAAATGAAAAAATAAAAAAATTATTGATGTATGCACAATATATATCAGTCACTCCATTGCCTTCAGACAGGCGCGTGGATGATTGCAGTGGTGGAAAAAAAATGTTTTGTTGTGCCATTAGAAGCATCTCGATATTCTCTTTCTTTCTAGATAGCACATATATGATGATGATATTCAATTTAACGTCAGTTTGATTTTCATTATTTCCTTTCATTTCTCTCTCATATGCCTTTGCTTTCGTGCTATTCATGGAAAAAATATAGCATTCCTTGAACTTCTTTTCTTTTCAAATTCGATCTTTGTTTTATTTGAAAAAATCAATTCAAATTGAATTTTTTTTCAACTTTATTCTCAAGTTTTTCATCTCTCGAGTTTGATCCCCACTTTTTTTTTTTTTTAGATGGCTTATGGGTTTTATTTGTTTCTTGTGATTTCATCCACATTTGTTTTCCTTTACTTTTATATCAAAGTTTTTATAATTTATAATTTTATCATTCAAATCAATTTTCTAATTCTTTTTCAATAGTAATAATATTATTTTTTTAGTTTGGTCCTTTTTTTATTTTTTTGATTTGTCTTCTTTACCCTTTAATCAAAGTTTTTATGTTTTTTAATTTTATCATTCAAATCAAGTTTATGATTTTTGTCATAATAATAGTAATAGTAATAATGATAAGATACTAACAATCTTATTAACAATACTATTACTAATCGTGATGATAATATTAATAATGGTGGTAATAATAATAGTTTATTATGATAGTAATGTGGTGATAATAATAACAACAACAACAACAACAACAATAATAGTAATAGCAATTATAATTACAATAATAATAATGATACATGTGTGTGGCGTCAAGGCGATTGTCATCCCGGAGTGGGAATAGCATAAAAGGGTGAGGGTGGAAAGAACAAGGAATTCTTGCTCTTTATGAATGAAACCAAATGAATGAGAGTTGTTACCTAGTATTACAGTCACCAAAAAACTTATTAGTTAGCGAAAGTACGTAAGGGGACAAGTTTTAAATAAAAAAGATGTAATCTATTTTTAAGAGGCTTAGTTATATGTAGTAAAACAATTGATAATATTTATCCTAATAGCTCAATTAATTATAAATTATCATTAAACAATCCTAAAACCATACGCACAGTTAATAATTTGTCCTAAAAACTAGCAATTTATCAAATAAATGGTTTAGGGTTGGAAATCAACCTTCCAAGTTTGTTGTGGTTGTTTAGGGACTATTGAAAACCTTTCAAGGCTGTCAGGTAATCCTGGCACCGTGTGGAATCACTTAGAACCACCATTATTGACGCATGGAATAATGCATTGTCTCTATTATAGGAGAACCTAATGAATCTGAAACTCCTTATCTCCTCTTCGATTCCTCACTAACGGTGCAACAAATAAACACATTTAGAGGGAGCTCTACTCTGTTGAAGTTTCAGTCTTCTTCTTGTTTTTAAGTCTATGTTTATCTTTTCTCCATACTGCTGTGTTTTGATGCTGACATTAGTGGGGGGAAATTATAGATGGTATGAAAATATTGCATCTCCTTTTGGATTCCTCACTAGTAGAGTCACAAAAGGATTTTTTTTATAGAGGGAGCTTTAATATGTTGAAGTTTGATGTCGGCTCTTGTTTTTTAGACCAGGTCTGTCTCTTCTCCCTATTGCTGCATTTTATTCTTGACATTGGTGGGTGAAAATTATAGATGGTCTGAAGCTACTATATCTCCTACTCAATTCCCCATTAAATGAGCCACAAATGGATCTCTGTACACGCAGCTCTTCGATATTAAAGTTTGATGTATGCTATTGTTTTTCAAACCAGGTTTGTCTCTTCTCCCTACTACTTTGTTTTAATGATGCTACTAGTGGGAGAAAGTTTTACAGCTTATGAAACTACTACTCAACACACTCCTCACCATAACTATCTCTCCCTTAACCGGATACTCAACACCAAGGTTGTCAAAAACGCATTCTTGACACGACATGAAAACTGTAAAATAAACTTAGATCATAAAATCGAATCGTAAAATCATAAAACCATAAGGATTTTTTTAAAAGTGTAGTAATTGTTAGTTTTTTAAAGTGGATGAAGAAAAGTAAAGAGAATTCGGTTATTAGTAAAGTTTTACAAAATCTTTGATATGCATTGCTCTCCTTATAACAAACTTTACTTTCCTATAATTTATATCAATATACATGGATTTTTTTATAATTTTTTCCACCTAAACATGAACAACATTTACCAGTATATATATATTTTTTTCTATCTAAAACAAATCAAATTCACAAGAAATCAAAGTGCACTTGAAGTTTTTTTTCCCAATTACACCTAATTGTAAGCCAAAAAATATAATAAGAAGAAAAAAACAAGAATCTTACTTATGCAGCAAAATGGGATTTGCCCTGTTGTTTGTTTAGCCATTTCACCTGCAAGATGTAACCAGAGTATGAATTTGTAGTAAACCACATCCTAACCATGCAATGATGTAGAAGGTGATTTTTCTTTATACATGATATGTTGTCCTTTAGCCTCACAAAAAACCCATCAGTATTTTCAAATCATCTCTGTTGATACATATTTTTTTTAAATCATCTCTGTTGAGTAATCCAAGAAGTTCTATATCAACTACCTACAGACATAAATTTGAGTTCGCATTTAACTTTCTAAATTCAATGCAACTCGTAGAGTTTTCAAACAACTTCAACAAAACAAAGAATAGAGAGAGAAAAAGAAAAACGATAGGTATATCAATTAAAATAAAAAACTATAGCAACTTTTTTGGTGCTTTAATTATGCATCATGCGTTTCCATTCAGGCTCTAGCCATTAACCCAATTCCAAAGATGATCCCTAAAAATATCCCTGAAATCAACCTCATTTCTCCCGATTTCAAGCACAACTAAACCTAATTTACCAACAAGAAAAAAAACACAATGACAAACAAATCAGAAAGAAAATAAAATCAAACAGCGATGCATTATGTCTATAAATTGCTATTTTTTTTATATGGAGAGGTTGAGGAGGGGAATTTACAGTGGAGAGTTTATTTATTTTCACTCTCTTAAAAGTAACAATTCCTATCTTTTTTGAGCGAGAGATGCAAGCA